AGAACGAGAACAACCAGCAGCGGTGTACACTTACATGGCCCGCAGTAGTCAACCTCGCCCATACAGGCAAACATACACTGCGTTCCGGATGCAGTTGGCTACTACGGGCCATTGGGACAACAACCAGCATCGGTACAGACTGACATGGCACGCAATAGTCAACCTCACCCACCTGGGAAAACAGAAAAAAATGTGGCACCAGCGACAGGTTGACTACTGCAGGCCAGAACGAGAACAACCAGCAGCGGTGTACACTTACATGGCCCGCAGTAGTTAACCTTGCCCATACAGGAAGAGATACACTGCGTTAGAGGGCGGTTGGCTACTGCGGGCCATCGGGATAACAACCAGCATCGGTACACACTGACATGGCACGCAGCAGTCAACCTCACCCAGCTGGAAAAACAGAAAAACATATGGCACCAGCGACAGGTTGACTACTGCGGGTCAGAACGACAACAACCAGCAGTGGTGTACACTTACATGGCCCGCAGTAGTCAGCCTCGCGCAGACAGGCATACATACACTGGACAGACAGACAGGCTGGCTACTGCAGGCCAATGGGACAACAACCACCAACGGTACACACAGTTATGGCACGCAGTAGTCAACCTCTTGCAGCTTGGAAAACAACACTCGCACAATCGACACGTTCACCAGTCAGCGATGCAACACGACGCCGAACATGACATGCGAGACCAGAATTGGCCTGCAAGGGGGACAACTTCGTGCTGTTGGACAGGTAGACATGCGCCGACAGAGGGCCATTCAGTGTTGCGGCCCACTAGCCAACCTCAAGTATGTGAAAACCAGACATAGGTACACACAGATAGATAGATAGAGAGAGAGAGAGAGAGAGAGAGAGAGAGAGAGAGAGAGATCACGCTTCCCTGACGACCCGCGCTGCCACAATTTGACATCTTCTGTACAGAGTTTTCAAGCGCTCATGGATGTCAAGTCTTTTCCTGCAAAATTCATATTTTTTTTCCGCTCCATGATGGTCCGCGTTCAGTAACACCGGTCCCATTATCTCTTTGATATATGAAATTATATGGGAAAAACAGTCCGCGACCAGCCTGCCCATTTGTCGAGAGTTTGCGTCAACAACGAAATTTTCAAAAATTTGCGTCGTCATAGGCAGTACAGAAGATTCTGGTCTGGCCGAAGGTGCTTTGCTGGCAAGCACGCAGGGGAAGTTGTGACGCACGTGGTGAGATTTCAGTGCGGCAACATCACTGCACGCCAACAGGACGTGTGGCGCAGGCGCATCCTTCCCAAGAGTGGCCCCATTTCCCGAACACACTCCGATTGGTCTGTCAGCTTCTTCTTTTCCCTTCTTCGTTTCACCTTCTCCACATCCCATAACATCTCCTTCCATACATATCACCGTCAGTTCTCCGGCCAACACCTGCCTCGAGTGTGTTGCAGGGCATCCATTACATCTTCGCAACTGCTCAGCAGGGACACGATTTTTGCAGGAAGCTCGTCATTAACAGACCCGACACCCACTTCACTCAGACCGTACTCCTCGACGGTTTCCGTACAGTGGCGAATGCAGTCCTCGGCGAAGGCTAAGAGGTCAACGACGCTGCGTGCCGTCGTAGGTAGCGAACCTGTGTTGTAATCTTGGTTATTGTACGATGCCCACCCCTCCTTCAGCACACACTTTCCGCAGCTGGCAAGACACATGACATCCCCTCCGTTTGACTCCCCGTTTGTTGTCTTCGTGACGTTGGCGGAGAACCGCTTCAAGACTGCGGTGCGCCTTTCCCTTTTAATATCCAGCCATGCCTGAAACTCGTCGAACGTGGTGTTCTTCGTTTCAGCAATT